CCTCTGGTGTGTGGAAGAACTTGCAGATTAGGTTTTCACAAGGCGATATTTTCCGCATTTCTGACATCCAAGAAGATCTCTACAAATTCAAACAAGGTACTCTTGACGTCTCAAACTATTTTACTCAGTTGAAGGTTATGTGAGACGAATTAGAGAATTACAGACCTATTCCATCTTGTAGCTGTGATATTGCCTGTTCTTGTGGTGCCATTGCATCCATTAGATTGTATAGGGAACATGATTATGTCATACGATTTCTGAAAGGTTTAACTGAAAAGTTTGCTCACTCTAAGTCTCAGATAATGATGATGCATCCCCTTCCTAGCATAGAAAAAGCCTTTTCCCTAGTTATTCAACAGGAGCGTGAAATTGACAGTTCAGTATCTAGTGTTATCCCATCCATTGCTGCCAATGAGCAGGCTACAGCCTTGCAAACTCAAACTCATGAGGCTAATTTCACTATTAAGCAAGGAGGTTTCCACAATATCGTGGCAAACCTCAAGCCTCTCAAGGATCTAATACACCTAGGGGAACTAATAGGGTCTGTGTTCATTGTGGGAGAACAAATCATACCATTGAGACATGCTTTCTTAAGCATGGTTATCCACCAGGTTACAATAGTTATAAAGGAAAGAGTAAATCTCAGGGTGGTGCACACACAAATTCATGTGCTGCAAATGTGAGCAATGGCAGCAATGGCACTGAATTTTCTTCTCAAGGCTCAGCTACTTCTTCATTTGGATTTACTAAAGAGCAGTATGATAGCATTCTTGCTTTGCTTCAACATTCCAAACAACCATCCACTGTCAATTCTGTATCTACCTCTCCTTTAGCTATGCAATCCACTTCTTCCAATGTGAATGGTAAGCACTCTGATCTTTGGATCCTGGATACAGGGGCCACTGATCATTTCTCTTTTAATTTTGCTTCCTTCACTGATCATAAATACATTGTTCCCATACCTGTAAATCTGCCTAATGGATCTCAAATATTTGCTTCTATTTCTGGCACAGTAGCTATCTCACCTTCCTTCATTCTGAAAAATGTTCTTTATGTCCCTAGCTTTCATGTTAACCTAATTTCTGTGGCTAAACTTGTTGAGCACAACCAATTCACTGTCCAATTTACTCATAATTCTTGTACTATTGTGCAGAATCATTCCAAGGAAATGAATGGTATAGCTAAGCTGCACAGGGGGCTCTATACTCTTGATTCTACAGATTTCAATTCATTTGTAAATAATTCTTCTGTTTCTCATAATTCTTCTTGTAATCTGTGGCATATGAGATTAGGCCACATCTCTAAGATAGGTTTACATAGTATTGCTAAGGCTTTTCCATTCATCATTTGTAATAATGACAATGTACCTTGTGATTCTTGCCAATTTGCTAAGCAAAAGAAGCTTCCTTTTCCACAAAGCATATCTAATTCTACTGTTCCTTTTAACATTTTACATGCTGATTTGTGGGGCCCTTTTTCTACTGTTTCTGCCTTAGGACATAAATATTTTTTGACACTTGTTGATGACTTTACCAGACATACATGGGTCATTTTTCTCAAAAGCAAAGATCAAACAAAATCTAGCCTCATTAACTTTGTAGCTTACATAGAAAATCAATTTCAGACCACTTTAAAATGCCTAAGATCAGATAATGGGACTGAATTTGTTGTTTTATCTGATTTTTTTCTTTCCAAGGGTATCCTTCATCAAAGAACATGTGTAGAGACCCCTCAACAGAATGGTGTGGTGGAAAGGAAACACCAACACATTCTGAATGTTGCTAGATCTATTTTCTTCCACTCCAATGTTCCTTTGAACATGTGGAATTTCTGTATCCAACATGCTGTCCATCTAATAAACAGGCTTCCCACCCCTCTTCTTAAGTTCAAATGTCCTTATGAAGTCTTATTCAAACAACCACCTTCCATGATGCATCTCAAAGTTTTTGGATGCCTCTCTTATGCTACATCTCTTCAAGCTCATAGAACAAAATTTAACCCTAGGGCTAGAAAAGCTATTTTTCTTGGCTACAAAGAAGGAACAAAAGGTTATATCCTATATGATTTAGCCAATCACAATTTCTTCATTTCAAGAAATGTAGTTTTCTATGAAAATGTTTTTCCCTACAAACTTGCTTCACCTGGCCATAATCAATCTGAACCATCCAACCATATTCCCTCCTTTCCTATTTTAGATGATCCCTTACCTACATCCTTTCCTACTTCCCAGCCTAGTACCACTGATATTTCTTTTTCCACTGACAGGTCCACATCTGATTTGATATCTCAACCTATAAATTCTGAGTCTGCTACTCTTCATAACATCCAGCCTGTTAGTCCTCCCAGTACTAGCCCTATTTCCAATCAGTCTGTTTCCAATGATGGGACCCCCCATACCAATTCTGACTCTATCCTTAATACCATTCCTTTACATTCCAGTCCTCCCAATTCTCATGGTCCTCCTGAGTCTCCTTCTTCTAATAGTCATTCTGAACATGAGCTGTCTTCCTCTAATAGTCATTCTGAGGTTCCTCCCTCTAATAACATTTCCACTAGACATTCATCTAGGCAGTCTAATCCTCCTCATTATTTGAAGGACTAACACTGCTATTCTACTCTCTCAAATAACACCTCTCATAATCTCTATCCTCTATCTTCTGTGTTGTCTTATGACAAGTGCTCTCCTTCCTATAAACACTTTTGTTGCAATGTCTCATCTAAGTCTGAACCCAAAACCTTTGCCCAGGCCATAAAATTGGAATGTTGGAAACAAGCTATGAATGCAGAATTACTTGCTCTTGAACAAAATCACACTTGGACTGTAGTTGACCTTCCACATGGGAAGACTCCTATTGGTTGTAGGTGGGTCTACAAGATTAAATATAAGGCAAATGGCACAATTGAGAGGTATAAGGCCAGGCTAGTGGCAAAGGGGTACACTCAGATGGAGGGCATAGATTTTTTTGATACTTTTTCCCCTGTGGCTAAGATAACTACTGTGAGAGTTCTTTTGACTATTGCAGCAATTAAAGGTTGGCATGTTGAACAATTAGATGTCAACAATGCTTTTCTTCATGGTGATCTTCAAGAAGAGGTATACATGACTCTCCCCCCTGGCATTTCTTCTTCTAATCCTTCTCAGGTTTGCAGATTACAAAAATCTCTTTATGGTCTAAAGCAAGCTAGTAGGCAATGGTATTCTAAACTCTCCTCCTTTTTGCTGTCTTTGGGTTATGTCCAATCACAAGCAGATCACTCTTTATATGCTAAATCTGAAAACTCTCATTTCACTACTATCTTAGTTTATGTTGATGATATTGTTGTAGTTGGAAATTCTTTGATGGAAATCCATAATGTCAAAGCTCTTCTTGACAAACAGTTCAAAATCAAGGATCTAGGCAATCTGAGATATTTCCTTGGATTTGAAATAGCTAGATCAACAAAAGGAATTTTTATGAATCAAAGGAAATATACCCTTGAGTTTTTAGAAGATACAAGGTTTCTTGCTGCTAAACCATCAGCCATTCCTATTGATCCTACTCTCAAACTTACCCCTGAAGATAGTGATCTCTTGGCTGATCCTACTGTGTACAGAAGGTTAATTGGTAGATTAATCTACTTGACCAATACTAGGCCTGACATCTCTTATGCTGTCCAGCATTTGAGTCAATTTGTTTCAAAGCCTTGTACATCTCACTACCAGGCTGCTCTTAAGATACTGAAGTTTTTGAAATCTTCCCCTGCTACAGGTATCTTGTTCTCAGCTTCAAGCTCTCTAACATTGTGTGCCTTTGCAGATTCTGATTGGACAAGATGTCCCACTTCTAGAAAATCTGTTACTGGTTTCTGTGTGCTCTTAGGATCCTCACTCATCTGTTGGAAATCAAAGAAGCAGAATACTGTTTCTAGATCCTCTACTGAAGCTGAATATAGGGCTCTTGCTTCCCTAACTTGTGAGTTGCAATGGCTTCAGTTCTTGTTACAGGACCTCATGATATTTCTACCTCAACCAGCTTCTGTTTATTGTGATAGCAAGTCTGCCACATACCTTGCACACAATCCAGCATTCCATGAAAGAAGCAAGCACATAGAATTGATTGTCATGTGGTTCGTGAGAAAATCAACTCCAAACTGATTCACCTTCTTCCTGTCTCTACTAAAGACCAGCTAGCTGATGCTTTTACTAAACCTTTACATTATCCTCTCTTCTCCTCCATCATGTTCAAGTTGGGACTTTGTAGTCTCCACAGTCCAACTTGAGGGGGCGTATTAGCATACTATTTGTATATAGCTTATTTTATTGATGTATATACATGAGTCAGCTTAGATAAGTTTTGTTAGTTAGTTAATATTTTATACCTTGCTGGCATCTGGTCATTGGTTGTATATATAGAGTTCACACTCTCTTATCTGTAACTACTTGATTCATTGAATAACAGAACACTTTACTCTTTCTTTCATCTTGTTCAATGAACCTTTCTTGGATGTTCATGGCTTCTTCACCTTGCTGGTGCGTTCTCATGGCCATTATTGACATCATGCCCCTAAGTTCTTTCGCATGATTAGATTTTCCAACTTAGCCAATTTACATATCTTTTTATTCTACCTCATCTGTTTGAATCTCTCCCAAAAAGAGTTGGAACATTTTCTAAACTCTTGTTCAACAGAGTTATAAAACAGAAAAACACATGCAATAAGTTAGAATGACTCGCACAAATAATTTAATCAAGACTTTTCTACATCACAAAATGACTTAAAACATAAAATACTTATTGTAATACAAATAGTTTTACAAAACACACTTTATTAGCAAGCTGAAACAAGCTATACTTCTAAGACCTTAATAGGTTATCAGCTAGTAATAAAAACATTTATCCCAACCTTACATAAACACTACATTACGACCCTACAACAAAACATAAAACTCTCAAACCAATCTTAATCATACATAAATGAACACATGAAGCAGTATTAATAATGTGACATGAAATTTCCTTGTGTCACTCCACACAACAACGATACATGAAATATTTCTCCATTTGACGACCGCATTCAGCGCAAACAACTTTCTGGGGTATTCCACCAGTACTGCCAGGAAGAATAAGCCGATTACAATGATGCGGCTGTTGAATTTCCTTAATATAATCATTCAATGCAGGAACCCAACCATCTTGTTCAATATTATGTTTCCATTTATCAAAATCTCTCAAACTTGTTAAAGCAGTATCACCTTTAGCTCTTGCCATTTCAGATGGTCCTCTACAGAATATCGCCCACCCTCGGTCGCTTCCATCGAAGCTAAGCACTGTCATAACTTCACTCATGATCTTGTCGTTTTCAACTGTCTTTCCGTGTTGTAGTTTTGAGTATAACATGCTCTCGAGTCTTGCCCAAAAGAACCAAATCGATGTCACGTTTGGGAAAAAGTAACTGAATCTTTTTGAGTTGAAGGTGGTTATCATTCTCTGCATTCGCTCTTTTGCATTGCTTTTTCCTACGTATACCATCTCTAAATCGAAGTTGCTTGTTCTTGCTAGGTTCATCGCTGTTTTTGTGAACGTTTCTATCCACTCTAGATCTTCTCCTCCATATAGACATATGATTTTTCCTTCTGTCATCTGCAACAAGGACAAGAAAAATATTCTGTTCAAAAGAAAATGCAATTCATCACCAAGTTCGACCAATTGTGCTTATGTTTCTGACTATTCGGGATCAAAATAAACGGGCTATAAATTTACGTACCCAGTCTAAAACTGCGGGATCAATGCCATCCACAAGAAGCTCAAGGCTCCAAATCTCTTGCTTCCACAAGGATTCTTCTTTCTCACTTGTGAAAGGGAATGCCAAATTTCCCCAAATCCATATCATATGAAGAGCATTTTGGGAGGACAATCTACCTTGTGGATCAAGAGCTACTAGAATAGCTCTCTTTGTGAAATTCCACACTTCTTTGATATACTTAATCACTGATGGTTCGATAATGAATGGATCGCGAACACTGAACCATGGCATTGATGATTGAAGATACTCAAACTTTTGCTTATTCACTTCATTCCATGTTGCTTTGTCCACAACAGGAATCCATACCATCTCATAGTATGTCTCGCCCCTCGATCTTGCATCTTTGTACAAATTATCCAGTATCATAATCTCTTCTTGTGAAATATCAAGATCTGATATGAGAAGTAACACATGTTTCCTCCTTAGTACCTCAAGACTAACCTGTTTATCATGTTGTACAATAATTAACTCTCACACACAAAATGGACTAGTTTAATTTTGACTGTAATCTAAAAACATACCCTTAATTTTGAAGTTCCATCTATAAGTGGAGGGATATCATCCTTTGCATAAATTAGTGCTCTCATGATTTTCATGTTGTCTACATGAACTGTCTCGAAAAGACGTATCAGATTGTGAAATGCCTCAATATGCCTCTTTTCATCTGTACCGGAGTAAGGATGCAATTATCAAATTTTCTTTCCATACATAGTTTTAACTTCTTATTGAGCATAAAATGTCGCAAGAAGAATCTTGAATTCATGTTATAGATATCTCAGAAAAGCAATGCAGCGGACTCGAAGTAAGAACAACATCCAAATTTATTAAGTTTCTAATTATGTTTTCAACAATGTGCTCACCTATATATTGATAGCAAAGAGCAAGTTGGTTTTTGAGGTGCTCGTATATACTAGCGACTTTGTGAGCCAAACTAGATAATTCCCATGCCTCTGAAGCTGATGACATGGCCCTGCAAGAAAAAAAGTCATAGTTATTCAACACAAGAATTGTTAGCATCTAACGGAATTCGAACATGAGATCCTGAAAAGAGCACACTCTCAGGACTCATGTCTTCACCATCAGGCCAACTTCTGGGAGTTCGATATCTTAGTTACCATATTTCAAAAATGATTTAGTAAATTCAAGTGATGAAAATATATCATTTTTATATCATATGGTAATTAACTTACTCATTTCTCATCCCTATGAGACTTGCAATTTGTGAAGCACAGGCTACAATACTTCTAATGACCCAATAAGTAGCAATAGGAATATGAGCACTTGCAACAGACATAGGAGGAACATCTTCTGAAATATATTCAGAAGGTAACTCCTTGAATTCAACAATGCACATTGTAACATCAAGTGCAGCCTTCACAAGCTTATTGAGTGCATCAAATTGTGGTCTCAATGAAACAGAATTCTCTACGATGTCAGGTAGTTGTTTAAGGAGAGCCACAGATTTTGCAAGTGTGTTTGAAGCACTTGATTGAGCAACAAGCCAAAACTCTCCGAAAATAACAGCAAATGCTGCTAAGGCTAACACAACTTTTGCATGCCATGAATAGCTTGATAGGTAATTCAGTAACACCATTGTTGATGCATGTGCATCTCCACCTCCTGAGCATTTGCATGATAGCTGCGTACATAAATTTTCTATCGATTATTTCTTCTTCATTTTTATATGGACTGGAACGAATAAATAGGTTCATAATATAAGAACAACCTCGCAGGAAATTTTGTTAATAATAAAAGCGAGTGCATCAAGCATATCAAATTCAGCCAAAGCAACAGCAGTTTCCAATGTCTCTTGCTCTTTTTTCACCTGTCACATGAACCATATATAAACCATAATAATAGTTTAGAACAAATGTCACATGCAGGTGGTTAACAAGTTTAAACAAAACATGTAACATGCATGCATTTTAATGTACTAGTTTACATGTTCATGACCCTCGACGCTTCGAGCAATGACTTGAATCAAGATTTCATCAACAATTTGAATAAGAGGCTTAACATCGATTTCGCGACCATCAGGTGCATGAGTGGACTGAACCTGTTTCATCATAGCACTATCATCAGAAGTAGAGAACATGCGTCTCTCCTTCTTTAGCTGCATTTTGTTAGGAGCAGCTTGTAACTGACGAAGATTACTACTAGCCATGTTGCTGAAAAAGAAGAAACAGAAAACAAGAGGGAAATTATTATTTGGTGTGAGTATAATTAGTTTCAATAATAGAGTTTATATAATGAGAGGAAGTGGAATAAAGGGTTATTGCACCAGTACCTTGCTTGTAAGAGAGGGTGTAGAAAAAGAAGCTAAAGTGAAAGTCCTGTTACTTAGGATAAGACGGAATGAATAAGGCTTAGGAATAGATATAAATATGTTATATGTTTTATGCTAAAATAAGAAGTGAGATTCGATTAATTTAAGAAGTATTTTTTTATCATAACTTTTAATGTACCTATAAATATGTTATAGCAAAAACCAATGCTAAAATAAGAAGTGAGATTCTGTGCTTTATGACATCATACAGGTCATGTCACCATTCCTTTAGACTTAAAAAAGGAAATGAACAGCAAAAGTAATTTTATAACCTTATTTCAATTTTGCCACTCAATAATGTTTTATTATATATCTTCTTAATAAATATATAATATAAGTAATTATAATATATTAATTTAATTTTATTATAAAAGTCATATATTATTGGACAAATATCTGTGATTAAAAAATCAATTAAATTTAATATTTTTTTCTAAATATCACTAACATAAAATAGACGGAGAACAGTTATAGTACATTAATTATTACTTTTTCACACTTTAATTTGTTTTTAACTTTTTAAGAAATAAGAAACTAAAAACAATCATAGACACATATAGTTCATATACTGGCCTTTTTTTTTTGTGAATAATTAATTAATTATATATATATATATATATATATATATATATATATATATATATATATATATATATATATATATATATATATATATATATATATATATATATATATATATATATATATATAGTATCTCGCACTACACACAAAATATGTCTAGGGCCAGCAAAGTAGAAAAGTGACAATGATCCAATAAAATAAGTATCACAAGTAAAAGATACAAAACAAGATAAATAACTCACATACATCCACTTACTATTACTATTGTGGGAAAATGTGATAGTAAACCCCGAATGATTAACCTATCTTAAGTTTATCTTATCCGTTATAACGTGAGTAGAGTAGTGTTTATCAGTTTTTAACGAGGACAGTGGACATTTAATATCTTGGTGATTTTCAGATTTCGTGGACACAAATAGTACTGTTTAAAGTTAATATATTTGTTTGATGATTATATCACAAAAGACGTATATTTTCCCAACTGCATGTGGTTAGAATGAGACTAGATCACTTATTTGATAAAATATAGTTGCTGTTGTCTAATTGATTAAGGTTTTCGATGACTCTTTAAGGTTGTTGTAGGGATCATCATGATCAATTTATTTTTTTGGATGGTTGGTAAAAAATAAACTGATGTGCCTTTCATATTATTTGGATTGCTCCAGTGTGGATAGTTTGGAAAACACGGAATAAACGGATTTTTTTAGAAATCAAATTTGTTGTTTATGTCTATATGTAAAAACGTTAAATTTCAATCTTTCTTATGGTTGAAATTCCACTTTCCAACTTTCTTTTTCATTTATCATAGCTAAAAAATAATTTTATTATTGTGTATTACAAACATTGTCGTCTAATTTTTTATTTTGTTGTGTTGTTGTCTCTTTATTTTAGATGTTATATTTTTATTTTTATTTTTTTTTAGTTTTTCTAGTATGTCTTATGGTTAAAAGAATTTTTCGTGATTAATATGTTTTTAATTTCTTAAAATTTTTTATCTCAAAATGACCTATTTAGTAAAATAAAATAAAATTAATACCTAATATGTTAATTTAAATGCGTCAGACTAAATATTTGTGATGGAAAAATTAATTATAATTAGTATTTTTTAATAATAATTAAAATAAAAATGAGAACAATTATAATATATAAAATTAGTAAATAAATCATTCAAATTAAGTTTTTTATACAACTTATAAATAAAAAAGAAAAAATAATAATTATAATATATTAATTTAAGTTTGTTATAAAAATCATATGCATGGTAAATATTTTGTGATTAAATAGTTATTTAAAATTAATAGTGTATCAAAAAAATAAAATATTTATAATTTTTTAAACTTTAATTTTATTCAAGTCACTTACGAAGTTGTTGAATTGTAAAATTCATAGACAACTTATTTATTCAAATCACATGTTAACCAATATCAACATGTCAACTTTAGTTTACAAAAGTAAGAATCCTTTAATTTAAAATATAGTTTAATTAGTATAGAAGTCTTTTAATTTAAAGTGTCACTTTGTTATCTTATTTAGTAAACGTTATTTTTAAGTTCTTCAAAAATATTTTCGTTAATCAATTTAATTCATTCTGTTAATTTTTAACTTTTAATATATTATACGAGACAATATTGTTGATACAAGAGAGGTATTAAAGTCTAAAATAAAGGAAACTAAACAAAAATTACACTAGAAATAGATTTTCTTGTCGAATTTAAATTATACACTCCTAATATCTCCAAATGGAATTCTTCATAATAAACTGCTTTTGGGTAATGGTGAAGGCTCATGTTGGCCAAAATATTTGTGCATTTATTAACATGTTCAATCCTAACCTCTCAATCCTGATCAAGAAGATTTTTTATCTATTGAAGAGTGGTCTTTCCTGTGCTCATTTGGGATCATATGAATCTCAACCTTCCTGTGGCCTATTTCATAAGCCATATACAAGCCTACTTGAACTCCCATCAACTCTACTGCAAAGAGCGTGCCAACTTCCATAATATTTGAGAAACCTCAACACCACACTCTATTATTATCCTTTAGAACTCCGCCACACCCTTCTTTCATATTGTCTTTGACTACTTCATCCTTTTTTAGCCTTATCCAATTCTCATTAGGAGGAGACCAACTAATGTGATGAATATATTCCTGTTTAACAAAAAAAAAAAAAATCATATAAAAATACACTCAATCTGAAAACATATTTATTTTATTGTATTTTTATTTATTTCGAGTGTGTTATTTTTAAAAGTTATGTTATATATATATATATATATATATATATATATATATATATATATATATATATATATATATATATATATATATATATATATATATATATATAAACACAAAATTGAAAACAAAGATAGACCGTGTGTGTTTGATTCGGCAGGGAAGAGAATTGATTTTGTATAATTGATTTTGATTAAAGTGAGTTGGATGTAAAATTATTTATGTTTAGATATATTTATGTAAAAGTAAGTTGAATAATTAATTTCAATGTAAAAATTATGTTTAAACTCAAAAACTATAAATTATAGCTTCAAGTAGAATCAATTCTGGGGATAGAATCAATTCTACTTTAGAAGAATCAAACATTCAAAATTATTCTAAAATCAATTCTACACTTCTAGAATTCCAAAAGATAAACCAAACACACATCACTATTTAAGCAATGTTACAAACAACTTATATATATATATATATATATATATATATATATATATATATATATATATATATATATATATATATATATATATATATATATATATATATATATATATATATATATATATATATATATATATATATATATATATATATATATATATATATATATATATATATATATATATATATATATATATATATATATATATATATATATATATATATATATATATATATATATATATATATATACCAACTCTTGTGCTTTCTTCTCTGCAGGTATCCCTCAGAGAAAAATCATTTAACTTATGATTATCTCAAGTATTCGTAGCACAATCTCTCTGAAAAAATATCTTAGTTTTTCCAATCCTCAATATATGTGTGTGTGTGTATTTTGTGCGTAACAATGTCTAAAGCCCCATCAATAGCCTTTTCAATAGTGTTTTGATTAGCTATTTCTGATGGTTTTTATAGTTTTCACTCCAAAAGTTGAACTTCCACCACCATGAAAGAGTTGAGACCTATCAACCTTTGCACCACCATATACAAGATTATCACTAAAGTTTTGGTCAATCGCCTTCACTCCCTCATTGATATCATTATTGGCCACTATTAAAACAAAATTCCTATCATATAGGGGCACTTCTGACAATGTGGTTATTTGTAAGAAATTGTCGTCCACAAGCTCAAGTCGAAGAAGAAAATTAGAGATGTCACATTTAAGTTAGATATGATACAGCGTTTGATAATGTCAATTGAGAATTCTTCAAAAGTTTCATTTTGGATTGGTTTCCCTTAAACCACCGTCCAATTTATTATGCATGTGTTACTGACCCACTTTCTCCTTACCTCTTCATCATATGTATGGATAAACTCTCTGTTACAATTAGTATTATTGTTTGTAATGACTCTTATAAATTGATATGCATGTCTAGCAACGTCTCTCACCTCTCTCATCTCTTGGTTGTAGACTATGTCTTCTTATTTGTAAAGGTTAAGAAACCTCAACTCATAACTATTACAAACATGTTTGAAAGTTTTAGCCATGCATCAAGCATGAAGATCAAACTTGCCAACTCTTGTGCTTTCTTCTCTGCAGGTATCCCTCAGAGAAAAATCATTTAACTTATGATTATCTCAAGTATTCGTAGCACAATCTCTCTGAAAAAATATCTTAGTTTCCCAATCCTCAATGGAAAAGTTAAACAAATTGATTTCTACTTTATCATTGAGAAGATGCAAACAACCATGGCCTCATGGAAGAATAAGATTCTTAACAAACCTAGAAGGATAGCCCTTGCTTCATTAGTACTCACCTTCATCCCCTTATACTACATAGAAAACATATAATTCCCTTAAAGAATATTTGGTACCATAAACTAAATGACTAGAAACTTCATTTGAAAGGATACTAAAATACTGGAACCAATATGGTTAGTTAGAAAAATTATTGTATGAAGGAGATGGGTGGTGTTGAAGCGGTATAGCGGTAAGCAACATAAGTTTTGAAAATATTTATCCGGAAATTTATTGAGTCCATAAAGATTGATTATTGAATTACCGTTCGACAAATTCTCGCG